CCCCCCCCCCGGTTTTCCCCCCCCCCCCCCCCCAATTCTCTCCCCCATCCTACTGGCAGGGGGGAGTAAGCAAGCAGCTGTGTGGTGCTTAGTTGCTGGTTGGGGTTAAATCATGACAACAGTTAAAAAGCACATATAAGCGTTTTCACTACCTATGCTCAGATCTCTTACTTTGTGATTACATTTGAACTGCTCTTCACTTATTTCTCCAGACAGCTCAAAGAGATTTAAGAACACTTGGGGTCTCTGACATAAAATCTAAGAGTATAATATAAAACACATACTGAAATTCATCTAAATAGCAGAGCAATCCTCATCAGTTATTAGACTAAAAAGCAAAAGAGAAGCTGTAAAGAGGGTTTTAAAAGAAAACAGACAAAGCAATGAACTATACAAATTCAGTTACATTGATAGGGACAACTTACACAGACAACACTAAAAACAAGTCCCAGTATAATTACCCAACGTGAATAACACAAAAGCTACTTGCCCATCTCTAGTCTGCAACAAATAGCAACAATGAAGTGTAAAGTTCATTAATACACAAGTCTTGCTCTTCTGTCCTCCTTCTCCATTAGAAACATGCATTTCTGTTCTTTGACCTGACAACTTCAGAAGCTAGATGTGAAAAATATTTTCTGGAAAGAACATCACTTCCTTCCCGTGTTACCTGTGTTCAGATTTGACCCACCAAAGCTTCAGAAATAGAAGACTGCCACTTTTATATACAGCACTCGTGAGACTTTAGCAGAATCCAGCAAATACTAAACATAATATATTGAATCCCCAGAAGACTGTATTTCCATAACTGCAGATGCACCATTTTCAGGTTTCCCATACCACACATAAGCTCGGCCTTATACAAATAACAGCACATCCTTTAAAAAAGCCATTCATCAGTAGCCTATTGCAGCTGCAGGGGGCAAGGGTTTCTGGTTTGCTTTTCTAAATATTTGAGTGCTCTGAAGACATGTATTTAATTGGCTTTAGAAGACAGAATACAGTAAAGAATAAACATTACATCTTTGTGTGACAACACAATTCTGCAGATTTTTTAAAGTCACAGCAAGCCACAAAGTGCAGGCAAGTGTCTCTGATAACATGCCTCCTGTTTTCCTTTTCTTCTGTCTCCTCTTTTGTGCTGAACTCAATGACCCCTTTGTTCTAGTTTTAGTGCCATGACAATAAAAGTTTCAAGTGTCAAACCTTCACTACCATGTTATTACAAATACACACAATATAATCTAGCAAACAATGCAAGATATGGAGGTGAAGTCATATGCTGTTTCAGGTGGGCAACACACTTTGCAGCAAACTGCAGCACTCCATTCTTTGAGGATAAAGACTGCGTACTTCAGTGTCACAACTGTTACAACACTTCTTCTTAAAACTTACGTGGGCTTGTGTCTGGTGCGACTACAATAAGGCCATGTTCAGCTGCAGCTTGATGAAAACCAGCTTTCGTTATAAAATTCTGTTCCGTGCAAGTTAACCCTAGAGAAATAAAAATATCATTGGTTACACATTGCTCACAGCATATCAAATATTTTGGCAGAAAAGGTTTTGAAAAACAAGAGGGATTCCTTTCTCCATAAACACAGAGAAGTCTTTTCACTAGGTTCAACAATGCTTAATAATCCACAGAAACTGACACAGTTGCATTTTCACATCTAGTCACACCAACATTTGATCAAAAACAGGTCTATGTGTACTCTGTACCCCCCAAGTGCTTACTCCTGTGGCATATACAGTTTCCTCAAGTACCATGTATTTAAATCCACAGACTACAGACACTGCTGATAAGGTTAACATTGTTAACTTCCGACATCTAACCCTGCAACTATATTTTTCTCTCTACCACCATTTCAGCTGTTTGCATTACAGAATTATACATGTGGTCTGACAAACCCTATATCCTTTAGACAGGATAAAGGCCCATAAGCACTCTTGCTCCAAAACCCACAGATCTTGCCTTTTGTACTGCAACAGGCCCAACTGAGGTCCAATTACAAATAAATAATACTGCACGCAGATATTTCAATTTTTCTTCACTGTGCTATTTGAGAGGGGTTAAGGGTTCTATTTTTCTTTGAGGAAAAAAGTTGCAAATAACCTAATTTGACTAATATACTAGCCAAGACAGCATGGTTTAGAGTAAAAAAATAAATGTGCTGCATGACTCTGAGCTCTTCAGACAATTTTGATGCTTCCAACTTCAAGGGTAAACATTTTTACCCAGTCCACTGTCATTCTACAAATCAGACCTACTAGCTATTTTGTGAAACAAGTACATACAAGGAATATAGTCTCCACGCTACCAGTCAATTCTCCAACTTTCTAACCACAAGTCTCAATAAAGCAGCTCCTAAAATTACAGAAAAGACAGAGCTTCTGCTTTTCATTTTGAGTAATAGAGAAAAAAAAAAAGATGTAATTAATTAATCCTGGAGCCATCAACAACATAAATCTGACCATTTTGAAAGCAATGCCTTAACATTACTTAGGCACTTCTGGTGCAAGTCCCAGCTCCGTGGGAGACAACAGGAATAGGGTGGAGGACTAAAGCCAGGATAACTGGGAACATATGTTTATCCATCCAGTCTCATCCCAGCTTGCCTTACATCCAGCAAGACAGCAGCAGGATAGGACACCAGAGGAGCTGGAGAGATGAAGAAACAATGCTGTGGACTTCACTCCTGCCACACAACCCTCTTCAGCCCCTGGCCCTTTCTGATCCCCCAGGGTTACCTCACTCTAGCTGTGCTCGTGCGGAGGCAGCTAACAGCACCTCCCTTCCCAAGTTCACCAGTTGCTCCCTGCAAAATAGCGCTCAGAATAAGGTGGGGTCCAGACAAGAAATTTTCTGGCTCCCATGGGCTGGATTTTGCCCCCCATGCTGTTAGCTGAAGCTGTCTGTCATAGACAAAGGGAAGCAGGAGGCATCTCCCTTTCAGGAGAACCTTTAAATATGTATGTTTTAGGACAAAAAGGATGTCCATTTTAGAACGAAAGGGTAGAACGTTTTGAACACTGAGCATTTTAGAACACAATCTGATAGGCTGCGCCCTGTGGCCAGCTGCATCTGACTTTATCACAATACACTCAAAGTAAACACGTTTTCCAGAAGACGATCTTTTGTAGAATGCAAGAGCTGCCACTGTAGTACTTCTACATCAGGTTTTCAGTAACTGTAGCACAGTAGCTTAAACATGCTTAAGATTATACAATTTATGTTACTTACCCGAGAGCCAATACAGCACAGGACACTTCCCGGTTTCTGCTTTTGGAGGCAGGTAGATTCCAAATTTCATTTTGCATTTTAGCTCCGCACTGTATTAATAAAATACTCCTTGTTATCACCACTACTTATTAACAAGGTCACTAACACTAAAAAAAGGCGGCTGAGTCAATGCATTTCATTCAAAGAGAGATTTAGTCAGTGAATTATAACAACTAAGTTAAATAAAGTGAAAAGCAATTTTAAAACTCAGCCTTAGCCTCCTGAATTGACAACAGCTAACCTTCCTACCTTGTTCTGAATATACTTAAAACAGAGACTTACAAATAAGCCACATTTTTGCAGTGCTGCTAATCAGGAAGTTTGAAAATTGAATTTCAGACCCCAGCAATATTTAACTTGAACTTGGAAAAATTACTTGGAAAGTAATTTTTACTGAAGAACACATCCACATGACTTGCAGAACATGCACTGCACAGCATGCCTCCGCAAGAGAGGTTTTCAATCTGCTAAGTCTACAGACGAACTGATTGCCCAATTAATACTAGAGCCTAAAATAGTCGATAAAAGCTTATCTATGCATAACTAATGATTTTTTTTTCCTTTGGATCAGAAGTGAAAAAACCCCTATGTTTTTCTGTTCACCTTCATCAAACAAGAATCCACCTCCTGTCTGTCTGCTCACAGCCTTTTTTTAAGAGTGCATAGAAGTTACATATCCAGTAGAGTGAATGGAACTTTGTACACATGGTGGTTCTCTGTGCTGCAAACAGCACAACCCAAAGCAATTCAGAAATTGAAAATTCATCATTTTCAAAGGTAGAAATACTGGCTTCCCATCTCTGATCTGCAGCACTAAGTATACTAGACATGTTAAACATTAACACAGAAATAAAAGAACACAGCCAAAGCAGCAGCAGACAGCATTCCTTACTGAAATACGGGTATCAGTGAGAACACACTGTTTTCCTGCAGACTGAGAACACTGACAGCAATGATAGCATGGATCCACTGCCCCATAAACATCTAGATTGATTTTGTAGTGTTCACCTGTCATGTTCAAACACCTTCTGGAAACCCTCAAAGCATTTGTTGCTGGAAACTTGCTTCAGTGCCATGGCTTTAACTGCAAAAAAAAGGAGCAAGTTACATGTGAAAATAAAACATTCCTGGACTTACAGTGAGTTATGGGAACAGTAAAGTTGAATATAACTTAAAGCATCTTTGCTTAATATCACAGGTTTCTAGAAGAAAGGATCTCCTGCAAACACTTTCTGATCTTTCATTAACTTTCTGTTTCCCCATGGAAATGGAGGGGTGAGGGAGCTGAACTCTTGCGAGCAGAGCTGAGAAAGCCTTCCTGCTTTCCTACAGACCCACACCTGCTCTCACCTTTACCTCTGCACTAACTGTAGCTCGCTTTGTCTACCGATGCTGCTACCGGGCAAGAAATCTGACGTGCTGCAGCTAGCCTGGAGCTGCCTGTGACTTGCTAAGGACACTCGGGAAGGTTGACACAAACGCAGACGCTGTGGTTTGGACGGACAGTCAGGCCAACCGGGCGGCTGAAAGGGGAAGGGTTGGCACACCTGATGAGAAACCAGGTAACCCTACCTGTGGCGTTCTCCTAGGGCGCACAGGGCAAGAAAACCCACGCACCACGGAGAGCCCTCAGGGCCCGTTCACCGTCTCCCACCGAAGAAGACGACGTTGAAACCCATTACACCCGTCCCACGCCAGCACCAAGCCAGAGGCCGCCGGAGCAGCACGCTGGGCCCCGGCTCGGGACACCCATTTCCATTATTTCCACACAATTAACCCTGCCCGCTGCACCGAAGCGCTCTCCTGTACCCCCACGTTCACCCTGCAGTATATACCCGCAGGCACCGATCCCCCCCCCACACCCGCCCCTCGGCCGGGCCCGAGGGCCCGCACGGCCCTGCCGCCTC